AAATTATCTATTCATTTATAATTGATTTTTCATATATTCACAAATGATATTCCTTAAATTTACAACTAACTTTTCATAAATTTATTAATTATTAATGACCTCCTATTAGGTATTTTAATAATTAGAAGTATTTTAATTGCAAATGAAGAATATGATTCTTCTTTAATTCAATATTTTGTGATATTTAATTGTCATTAATATCTTTATACAAGGTCTCTAATTGACATTTTCTCTAGTCCAAGTCGTCTTAATGTATCAAAAATCATTAAATGCTTATTTCAAAATCAAGAAGCAAAGAGAGATAAACAAGGAAAAATTTGGAAAAAAAAAAATTAGTTCGAAGCACATTTAATGGGAAAAACTAATTTAACTAATTTTATTTAATATACACTCCATGAGCTAAGTAATTGTGACTTATGCTTCACATCGGAGGTAACATCATATTTGAAATCAACATGAAATAATTGGCCGACAATTGGATAGAGATATAGATTTAAGAGTTTTTTTTTAGATTTTTTAGATTATATATTGTCTTCATCAATTATATTATATATGGCTTTTACATATTTAGATTTTGTTGTCAGACCAAATTATGTTTTTAACCATCAGCAAAATAATAGAAAGCCTATTAGTTGTTAAAATCTAAAGTAAAATTGTTAATACAAAAAACTTAGTTTTTAGTTTAATTATGCAATAATAAGTACAATAACTTTAGCTTAGCGATTAATAATTTCAGTTTACTTGTTAGCAACATAGCTATCCATAAGTTCAGTTTAGTTATGTAGTAATTAATGTGGTTAGAACTAGACCAGAAATTATTGAACATTTGAACAGATCATAGTACTGGTTCACTGAATTGTGGACTATGGTTTGGTCTCATTGAAATTCAAATATTGTGTATGAAAAATAGAAATATTTTAGACAATATTTAACTATATTTTTATCATAAATATCAAATTTATTGTCAATTGCACAAACACTATAATAAAACTATTTATTATCAATTACAAATAATTAAAATAATTGAACATGCCACAATAATTGTCTAGTCAAACGAACATAAATTTTTATTATTAACCAAACCATTAATAAATTATCAAATACATATGTAACCCTTAAAGAAAAACCAAACACAAAACAAATAAAAATACAAAATAACATAATTTTCAGTTATTGGTTTTTTAAAAAAAAAACTGATTTTTGGTTGGTTTTACCGGCAACTAGTTCACTTTTAACATATTTTGGGAGGTTGACCGGACCAAATCGTAGGTCAATTCCCTGTCAAACCAGCCGATTTAATCCAGTTTTGACAACAGTGATAATAACTACACTTCTTATATAAATAACAATAATTTTTCGTTTGTTGTTAACAGTTTTAATTTATTTTTAACAACCATATTTTTTATTATTTTGTAAAGAGTCATAACATAATTTTACAAAAGAAATTATGTCAAATAAGTCTTTAGAAACTTTAAAGTGGCTGCCTCATTATATGGTACTCCTTTATTATATCTAAGGATTTATTTGTCATTTATCTACACTTTTTTATGTCTTACGAGGATTATTCAAATTTATTTCTTCGGCCAAACAATTTTAACTTTTAGCTAGGTAAATCAAGTAAATTCTTAAAATGAAAATAAAATTTCTCCTTTTTTGAATGCGCCCCCACGCGCGCACTTACACATATATGTATTGCCTGGTATTATTTATTATTTAATTTAATGGTAACTTCAAACTCATTTCTTACATATCTTATTTTATTTTGCACACTAGACGGAATGACAAAGAATATTGCAATATATTACTATGTCATAAACTTTTATTTAATTCTAATTTTTATTATTTTTTCTCCTGCAACTAATTTCAAGTTCTCATGCTACCATACCAAATTCTTTTATGATTTCTCCATTCATTGCAATGCAATTAAGGAAGAAAAGTCCATTTTTATTTTTTTTTTTTTCATAAAGGACAGTAACTGGTGTAGTTAATGCTTTCTTCAGCTGGCACATAGGGGTAGGAAATAGGAATAGATCAAAGCTCTATAGAAGCCTACGCCCTAGCTTGCTTCAACTCAACCTATAGTCTATTTGCTAAACAGGATCAGGTTAAATTCATGTATTTAATTAATTTTATTTAATTAAATAGGTTAGGTATATTTTTTCAAGTCTAACCTTAAGCCTAACAAGCCGACTTATTTACACACACATATTATATAATATATCACGCACATCATTTTCACTCTTTAATTTTTAATCAATCTATTCTTTTTTTATTTCTAATTATGTTTTTAATCTGATTGGACTTATATATTAATTTTAATGTTATTACTTTATTTTTGTATTATAGTTGGTAAATCTTTTTAATTATTATATATTGTAATTGATAAATTAAGTTATGTATTGTATGCTAATAATTCTAAAATATATTTGAAACGTTTAAAACTAAAATTCAAGCCTATTTAAAAGGTTTACATTTAAGTAGATAGGCAACCTGAGCAATGAAAAAAAAAATTTATACAGACTTCAAGCTAAGCTCAAGCTTCTAACTTGTCATACAAGCTCAAATTCATTTGACTAAAAGCCTAACTAGAATTAGCATATTTCCACCATTACTAGCACATGACTTGTTTCAATGCAAATAAGGAATAAATCTCCCACATTTTTCTTTCTGTGCATAATACGAATTTTTTTCCATGATTTGTCAACTTCTTGTTTTTTTGAAAAAAATTAAATTTCACATTTTTAATTATTTTTACCGTTAAATTGGTTTGATAGACAAAACCATAGAATCACTACCAACACGGCAACAAACTAATAACAGTTGGATCCAGTGAAAATGATTTAATTATTTTTAAACAAAATAATCATTATTTGATATATATTCAATCATATATGATATTTGTCTCTGGTTTTTCGGAAGCACGTCGTCTCAGCGTCGTTAAATCATGCCCGTGTAAATAATCTGTTGGCTCATAATGCATCACATCAATAGCTTTTTCAAAAAAGAAAATAACGGCCCCAAAAAAAAAAAAATTGAAGATGACTTGAGTTCCGAAATTTTTGAAAAAATTTGATTGTTGCATATAATAATTTCAATTATAGATTGAGAGTGATATTTAGAATTTAAATATTATAGTTACAATTAAAATTTTTGAATTTGTGATTATTTAAAATATAATATTTATAAATTATTTTTTTTAAATATCAAATACTTGAGTGTTACTCCCTCTGTTCAAAAATGTAAGTCATTTTTAATCTTTCAAGGTGTAATCATTGCTTTTTTTTTAAATGACCCTATTGATAATAACTTTATATTTATTCTAAAGTATTTAATATGGATAAATATAAAAAAATAGGGTTAATATAAAAGTAAGTAATTACTTCATTAAGATGTGAAATTTATTAAAAATATTTTATTTTTTTGAATGAAAGGAGTATTAAATTCATCTTTTAGAACGAAACTATTATTCTCCATTTAAAAAAAATGTTTGAATAATGAACAGTTTATTTTCAAATTTCTGACACTGTCATCCCCTTTTTAAAAGCCTTGGAAAATCTGAATTTACAATTATTTAAATAAATATTTATGATTTATTTTTTATAAAAATTATCAGAGATTTTAATTGTTATTAAATCTCTCTTTTAAGATTTAACTTCATCCCCCTTTTAAAAATATATTAGTGAACAGTCTAATTTTAAATTTTTAATATTGTCATTCTCCTTTTTTGAAAGCCTTGTAAAATATTTAAATTTTAGATGTCGCGCTCAGTATACAATTGGAACTAGTGGAAGGGGCCCGTGCGTTGCACGGGCAATATCATCAACAATTAGTTATATAATTATGGGCTTGTGATAACTTTTTACATGGGTAATTTCAAGGACAATTATTTTTTCTTTTTTTTTTACAAAAGAATTTTTTTTTTCAATTGGAATAATGGCATTTAATATTTAGCCTAATAAACATCACACAAACTAAAACACAGGGTATTAGCAACAAATTAACAGTTGTATAAAAAAAAAAGTCATCGAAAACCTTAATTTCTTAACAAATCCGACATCTTTCCAATGAAACTCTAAATACCTTAAATAAAAGCCTTCATCATGGTAGTTAAAAATCCCATGCATATTTTTCCCAAAAATAGGAATATAGTTGCAAAAATAATCAAAAAATTAAATCAACATTTTTTTATTAATGAGGAATCAAGGTTTTTATAGGATATGTAATTTTATGGTTTGTAAGGAACATTTGGTAATATTGGAACTCCATGTTCGTTTAAATATGTTTGGTCCGCTTGGTCCATCCGACTTTTTTTTTCCGCGCATACCTAAAGCTCAAATATAACTATTTAAGATTCAATTTTCCATAATGGAAGGAATAAATACAGCCCTGTTACTTAATAATTTGTGCCTTTAATTTTTTCCAAGCCTAAAATTTAAATACAACTATTTAAGATCATAAAAGAAAGAACCATTTTTAAGGGAGATATAATGTAATCAACGTAATATATATGGTGTTTGTTACTAAGACCCACACACCCATAAATCTCATATGTACATCAGATTCTAATTAACCAAAGATTTTTCCTTCCTCTCCACCATCATACCGCATGAAATCTTAGAATTGTCTCTACTTGTTCTTGAGTTATATATTTTATTCTTGCTCTCCGAGACATCACCATCAAGGTAATTAGCATTATCCTTCTGTTATCCTTTGTATTTAATGTATCATGATATTGATTACTACAAATTAAAAGATTTGTGGGTAATGATTCCATATAACCATTTCCCCTTAGTTTAAGTCTTTTATGGTCCTATTTTTTCTGTTATTGTATTTATACAAATTGTTATAGCTTGTACATTCAAATTTTAACTTTTGGAGATACTGAAAAAAGTGCAAGAAAAAAAGAAACTGTCATTTTTTGATATGAACTCTTTTGAAATTTTAATAGCCGCAAGTCCTTTATTATAGATAAAGATGTCATTTAGTTGGATGACACATGATTTAGTGAGACAATATCTCAGTGTTAGAATGTTAGAAAATTATAGTTCAGCACCAACTTGGCTTAAGGAATCCACACATAGGTTTGCTTCACAAGCGACATCAAATAGTAAAGTAACAAATTTGATGCCATGATGCTCACACGTAAGTGTTCATACGTCTGAAATCCTAAAAACTAACTGGAGTCAGTCCATCATCAAAAATATTCAACTTGGTGAAATAGTATCTCCGCTAGATGAATTGGATGCGACACTCAAATCCAATTTCGTTCTCTCCTTGTACAATGAGAAGCCATTAGATGTACCACTTAAACCATTGAAATATTGCAAATGACAAACATCACAAACAGAATAATGCCTAACATATTACCTGTAGGTAGGTTACTTGCAAGGAATTATCTAAACCTCTTATCTTCCTCTTTATGTCATGCAAAAACGAAGGAGAAACAATTATAATTAAAATCAGAAACTCACCTAGACTATGCAATAACTAAATCAAGCATTAAATACCTAAGTGAGCCAAGGTCCATTGAAGTGCATGGAGTTTCATTTTCTTTATTAGAATTTGGAGGATCAGCAACAATAACACCCACTTTCATTGTATGGGTTAAAGTCACACAAATCGTTGTAGATTTCCTAAAAATTCTATACAATGTTCTTTATTACCTCTATCATAAGAAATCCTAAATAAACAAAATACACTATCTAAAGTTAGCTTAATTAGGGGAAAAAAAAAATTGTCACCTTCAAGAGAAGAGCTTGTCTTAATTAGTTGCATTTGAAATATTATGGATCAGAAAAGATCATCAGAAATAAATAACAGAATGCACCATCAATCATTGTTTAATAGTCAAAATTACATTAGATATGGTTATATTTCCAAAACTAACTTCTTTTTCTTCAATGCCTAGAAAGTGGTTGTTTATATTAGTTTGTAAGGGTATAAGCGAGTGACCAATGCCATCACAATGATATCTTTCTCTCTTTCCTTCTTCGCCTATCATAGAGATTCCTTTCTGCTACAAAAATGTTATATGACAACCTTCAGTTATGTGAGATGTAAAGCGAAAGAAGACATGAAACTTGTCAATATGACTCCAAGAATGATGTTATTGTTTTCAAAAAACAAGTGAGATTTGCTCGTAATTCACTATGATCAATTCCTCAATCTGCTAGAGTCCAAATTTACAATTCTACACTTTTTTCCAAAACGATTGTTAATATGTAGAGCCATGAGCACAAAGTTGATTATTCCTAATAGATGACCAGATATACTATTTCATAGATAAATTTATATAAAATCTACTGACAGTACTAAATGTACTTGAGAGAGAGTGAGGAGAATGAAATGATGGAGCACATAATACAGAATGGATTTAAACTAATTAAAACTACTAATGCTTCTGCTAAGATTTCAATCATCTTGTATCACCACAATTCATACATTCCAAATGTATTAAAATTCTATAAGTATAAACTGTGTGAATGATTTTCACTAATCTATGATGTTATTGTTTTCAATGCTAAGATTCCTTTTAGAAATGTTTAGCCAATGCCTTCCATATAATTCTGATGCCGCTTAGCTAAGGACAGATCCAAAATTAAATATCTACAAATTAAATTAAAAATTATACTTAAGATCTATGCATAACATCCTTTTGAGGAATTTATCAAAATTCAACACAATGTTCTTTCATATTCATTCAGACTAACTTACACATTTCCTTAAGAAAATTATCAATAGTTGTAGGTTTTCCCAGAATGAAGTTACCATTAGCAACGACCAACAAACTTTCTTGGCAAATTTTTTCTTGATAAAATGCAATGATTTTGTGACCATCAGAATGATTTTCACTAATTGAATAATGGCGTCCTATGTACTCAAAGTAAAATGCATATAGGATATAATTTTAAAATATCATTAATAAATTGTGCCAACATATCTAATTTAATGTCTTCACAGATACTGCTTTGCAAAATGGTTAAAATACACATTTTCTCCTTTAACTGAAACGAAAGAGAGAAAAAGGATAGGGAACACTAAGGAGTCTCATTTAACATAAATTAAACCAAACCTACCATTCCAAACAGGTTTCATGTTCATGGCACAGAAGCTTCAAACAGGGTTACTAAAAAAGCTTTAGTCTAAAAACCGACTTCACAGCCATCTAAAAGAAAAACCTTTAGTCCTCATATAACATCAGGATTATGTTACGCATTCACCCAAAGAGAGTAGCAATGTAGCATAAGCCAAAGCACACTAAAAATATTCTACAAATACAACAACAACAACAACAACAACAACAAGCCTTTATCCCACTAGGTGGGGTCGGCTACATGGATTGCAAGACGCCATTGTGCTCTACTAAAAATATTCTACAAATAAAGAGAAAAAAGCAAATATGATAAAATTTGTTACCCAGAAGTGGCAGTTTGTCCCAAAGAATAACTTCCATAAGCCCACAAGCACTGCTACCACCAAACTACACATAATGGCACAATTTTGCAGTCATTGAATCATAAATAAGTAAACATGCAGAACTTATAAGTAACTTGTTCACAATTGCCTATGCCTAAAAAGTACCTATGAACCATGGTAGCTTTCATAGCCACCACCAGCAGCTAAGTCACTTGAAACCCCTTATCCCTTAAATAAGAATGTACACGTACATGCCTTTTACTATCTCTAACATCATAGCTTAAACCATCTGGGCCATCAGCTGGAACAGGAAGATATGGTAGAAGTAACTGGAAGGAATGCAGAAATAGCCCCCGCCCTATCAAAAAGATTTGCTCTTAATCATGTAAGTACCTGCACAAGACCATCCTTCGAAAGATCAAGGTCTCCTGAAATCTGATCACCCAAAAAATAATAAGTAAATAGAAGAAACAATTTTATTCAAATTATTGAAGATTAAAAGCAAGTATAAATGACAAAGAAATTCAGCAATAATAAATAAAGAAGCAACTATAATAACCTTAGCTGAACCATTTCATCATCTTCGGATGCTATTTTGGGAAGACTTTCCTTTGACAGGATGCGAATCTTTGCTTTTGTCAGCCTCCTCATCTCGTTTATGATAGCTCCTCCTTTATCAATAAGGGTGCCAATTCATGATGTTCGCGCCAGCAGTCGAGTTGTGAATGAGATAATTCCTGAACCTCTTTCAACTTTCTCATTGCACCAGGGCCGTAAATGAACAGATGTCTTCAATGGTTGGAGAAAAAGTATCTTCAAAGACCTGCATGAGCACAATTTAGGTGAATCTTGCATCTAAAGCAAAAATGTGGAACCTATATTCCTGATGCCCACAACAATTAAAAATAATTCCACTAAACAATCAATAGACAACATTTCACCTCCTTTGTTGAAATAATTATTAAGCAATCATCTTCTTCTATTGCAGAGCTATCAACTTTAATTGTTGCCCCAGAATCCTGCCTAATTTGATCTATTATAGCACCACCTTTGCCTATATTGATTTTCACTAATTGTTTCTAACCACACTGTTATTATCTATCTGATTTTCACTATCAGTCTTCTTCCTTCTCTGTGAGGCTCTTTTGATCCAATACATGTTTTGATTAAAGAAAACATGTCATTGAGTTGCGATTGAGCAAATAAAATGTAAAAATCATTATTTGATATGAATTCCTCCGTCTTTGTTCAGAATAGAAACATAACCAATAACAAAGCTTGAAACCTCCGCCCATCATCAAAGAAATAGGGATATAATTCCATTTCCCAACATTTTTTTGTACTCAACTCAAGCTTTCAGGAAAAAAAATCCAGACTAAAAAATGTCAAAGAAAATAAAAGGGAGCAACAAAGAAGATGGCAGCAAAGAATAATTGATATAGGTTAAATTATAACTACCTTGACAACCATAAAGGACTATTCTAAAATGATTTAGTCGCTGACTAAATCGGTGGCTTCTTTCTAAGATCATTAACCACAGGTGCATATTGGTGAGGTTCTATTCCATATTATGCTAGTATTTCCACTACCTCGGCTACTTCTAAATTTCCCAAATAAATGAAAGATAAAGCCAGAAAACATTTTAATAAATTCAGTTTCTCAAGAATTTTCTATCCCTTCGAGTCTCTAAAAATTAAGGGAAACCAGTATCAGGTACATTGATGATTCTTCTTGCTCCCTCCTTAATTCTCTCGCGTAATGATCAGCCTCAATCTTTGCCGCAAGATAACTGCACAATCCATAACAAATTTTAAATTTTATTTTAAATTTGTACATTAAAGTAAAATAGACCAAACCTACAAACTTGCTTCCACCCGCGATGCACCACTGCAAGAAGGAGAAAAGGTGAGCGTATCGTTAGGAAGACAATAGATAATGCAATAACGCACATAAGGTGAACAAAAACGAAAACCAAATAGATAAACCTTCAAACCATCAGAAGATGTCGATTCAAAGAAGGCGTCTAGGTTTTCTCCACAAGCTCGCTAGTTTGACATCAAGTAGAGAGAGCGAGAGAGAGAGAATCATCTGGCGAGAGAAGATTTAGGGTTTGGAGGTGGTGACGGGGACGAAAGGGATGCGAAGAGGATGCAGTGACGGCGGAGGAAGGAAGACGAAGAAGATGCGGTGAGACCGTAAGGGAGATGAAGTCGAAGAAGAGGTCTGTTAGAAGGGAAGGAGGAAGTTTGATCGGCAGCTGGGAGTAAAGACGAAGCGACTATGCGAGGAAGTCCAAGAAGAAGATTGATCGACAGGGGCAAGAGAGGGTGAGAGAGGACGGAAAGGTCTGGAAGGTGAGAGTGAGGAAGAGAGAATATTTTTCTAGAAAAATAATAATTGACAAACAAATGATGGGACCCACACCAGAAAGGGCTTGGAGGGAAAAGCCCTATAGATGACCAGCATCAGGCAAGGCCACCGGGGGAAACAGTGCAACTAAAACAGTACACGGACTTTATAAGATATAAGGTCCTCTTTGGTATGTGGCGGGGATATGAATTGAGATTAGGTTTGGGTAATACCACTCTTAACATATTTGGTATGAAGCATTTCACAATTTTAGGACTGCTTAGTACCACTTAAATGGAAATACTCAAACCCACCACCCCCTAGTATTGGAAAATCTAACCTGAGATTAAATTTTTTTTAACTGAAATGCCCTCGTGAAAACACGTAGATTTTCTGCTCAGTCCACGAATCTCAACCTCCACCTTCCTTCTCTTCCGTCGATGGCTGCCAGACTTCTCCTCCGTCGACAACTCCAGCCCTCATCTTCCTTCTCTTGCTTCGATGATCTCCTCCTTCTCTTGCTTCAACGATCTCTTCCTTTTCTTGCTTCGACGACCCTCGACCTCCATCTTCCTTCTCCTCCGTCCCAACTCCGGCCCTCCATCTTCCTTCTCCTGTTTCAACGATCTCCAGTCTCTACCTTCCTTCTCCTGTTTCGACGACCATCGAGTGGGTGTTTGAGGGTGAAATGGCAAGTGGGTATTTGAGTCTTTTTACTAGTTTTTTTTTTTAATCCCAGTCTTATCTTTTTTAATCCCATGACATACCAAACATGATTTCAAAATTTATTCCTACTATTAATCCCAATCCCAATTTCATTCCCATTCTCATTTCCAATACCACAAAATTCATACTTAATACCAAACAGGGTCTAACATTCTCATATGCTACAATCAATTTTTACAACTCATTTTTAAAAAAAAAAATTGTCAGAAATCTAAATGTCGCTAATTTCTATTTTTTGGGGTTTTTCTGTCATTCTCATTTTTTAAAAAAGTCTTGTGACGTGGCATATTATGGGCGAACAGATTATTTAAACTGGCAGGATTTAAAGACGCTGAGAAGATCAGGACCCGATTTTTCCAGGGAAAAAAATTGAGGGACTCATGTAATTAATTATATACATTCCATATAATGAAGTTTATTATACCGGAACCAGAAAATTTTGGATAACGTGGCAAAATTTGTGCCAGTTAATTTCAAAAATTTAAGAAATCTAATTTTGAATATTTATAAATTACTTTATAGGTAAAATTTATTAAAATTGAATACTAAATAAATAATATATATATATATATAGATGTATCATAATATTATTTAAAATAAAAATAAAACTATCTTAATACAAACAAGTTTTTTATCAAAAGCTATACACTATTGGAATTGAAATTTTTTATTTCTTCTAAAATAAATTTTGAACAACTGTCTCTTATTAGAGAATTTATCATCAGTATTTGTTAGAGAATAAAAACCACAAATTGATTTGAAAAGCTTTAAATTATTTTATCTATTCCATAAAATTTATATTTAAAATCAGTAAGATAGAAATATTTATTTATTTATTTATTTATATTTATGTTGCACAAGATCTTGATTTGGAGTCTATATAAATCTAGAAAATGTCTTCAGGATAGCTACCCTAATTGGACTTAATAATATTTGATCTCACTTAATTAGATATCCATAAAAAAAATATTTTTAAATACACACATATGATTTTGGGTCGAAAAATTTTTTAAGGGGCTAGTGAAATTAATTTTTGTAAAAAAAATAAAAATTTTAGAAAGGGCAAGTGAATATTTTATAAGGAAGGCGAATAAAAAATTTAAGGGTGACATATAATTTTTCCTTCCCGTGAGGCAAACATATATTAGTAAATTAAAATATACATTAATTAAATTTATGAGTATTTAAATCCTTATACTAAAAATTCTCCAAAAAAAACAAGAAGAAGAAGAAGAAAAGAAAACGAATGCACCAAATTCATTCTCGTTTCATGTGTCATGTCTCTTTTTCTTATTATTAAGCTTTCAAACATGTCAGTTCTTTTCTTTTTTTAATTTTTTGATAACATCAATCATGTCATTTCTATTGTAGAAGATAAAACATCAATTAACTATAGACTCTAATTAGATCTCTCTCTCTCTCCCTCTCTCTCTCTCACCAATCGGAAAATTCAAATCCCTCAAGTTTTGTTGTTTGACGGATGATAATTCACGCGTTTGTCTACTTGCCATCAAAAAAGGAAAAACTAAGGGTATGTTTGATTATCTGTTTTAAAAATAATTTTCTATTTTTAAAATAAAAAATATGTTTGATAATATATTTTAAAAAGTATTTTGAAGGAAAAAAATTAAACGTTGTTTTGAAAAATAAAAAAATAAAAATATCTTTTAAATATTATGGGATTATTGTTTTGGAGAATAAAAGAAAATAAAAAATAGCTATTTTCATTATTCTTTTATTCTCATAATATGTTCTACAAAACACTAAATCTCAGAACAATAAAATAAAAATAATTTTAAACAAGCTCTAATACTCCCTCAATTAAAAAATATATAGCATTTTAAACGGAATCTTACCTCCCAATAAAATAGTTACTTATTTTTAAACTAACTTTATCTTTTTATATTTACTCTTATTTAATAGGGTGTTTCATCCTAAAAAAATATAAAGTCATCTATTCGATAGGGGCACTTTTGAGAAAAAAATACTGATTACACTTTAAAAGATTAAAAATAGCTTATATTTTTAACATTCAACTTCTCAAAAAATTCTTTATATATATATATATATATATTTGGCTAAAATATATATATTATTGAAACCCACAAAAAAAAAACTCTCGTATGCTTTCACCAATCTAATAATTTATAGTTTAATTGTCCCTTTACTCTATTATTAGCTGTTTACATTTATTTTTGAGAGAATGATAAGTATGGATCTTGTAAAAAATTTAATGTTAAATTAAGACTTTTAATACTGAAATATGGGAGAAGGAGTACTTAATTTAAATGCCAATGTTAAAAATCTTAATTTGACATTAATGTTCTCATGAGTCATTATTTGTCATTCTCCTTTTATTTTTTTCAGACCATTTCCCAACTTGTTAAATGTTACAAAAATATAGCTCTTGATACACGGAACATAGAAATATTATACACAAATAACTTTAAATTTCAAAATTAAATCAATAAATAAAAAAAATTAATCATGTAAGGGATTGTTGGCTTTAAGTTCTGATTTTACAATGCTTATATGTTGTTCTTGTACATATGCTGAAACAGTTGTTGTCATGTTCCTGTGTAAAGAATCGATTCCTTCGTCAAATACAGAATATGCCTGATGCCAGTTGGAATATACACATGGCCTATACTTATGAAGAAGGGAAGTTTAGTTCTGACTGGTTGGCTAATTGGAGTTTATCACAGACATGTGGACTACAGGTTTTGAGTGAACCTCCTAAAAGTTTACTTGATTTACTGTATAGGGATAGATTGGGTTTAAATTGCTCACAATTAATTTTAATGTAATTTTATTTGGGCTTTGTCTCCCTATGTACCCAAAAAAAGTCAAAAGTCAATTCTTACGGCTCGCTTGAATAATTTGTTACAGAATAATTGTAATATTGAGTTATTTGTGAAAGAAGATAAGATATGTGGCTTTTACGAGGGTCAAGAAGTCGTATAGGAAAGCGACCTCTAAAATGACATCATCTACCAAAGTTGGTCCATCATCGAGCCCACTCCATGACTGGCAAGAGATTCGAGACTTGAAATCCCAACAGCTCACTTTTAGATAGACTTCTTTAGGCCACTAATTTAGATATGCGTCCTTCCTACGTGTCAACCACGTGGTTCAAAATCACCCAACATAATGACCCACGTGACGTCACGTGCGATGGACCTCGCACCTCCCATCTCATTTCCCTTTCACTCTCACCCACCCTCTAGAAAACTCCGTTATAGTTTTACCATGTAAGCTTTGAAGAGAAAGGAGAAGAGGGAGGAACCAAAAGAGCTTTGCGTCTTTTTCTCTTCGGTTGCATGTGTTCTCCATTATTACTTTTTGTGATGTCTCTACAAGCTGCTATTTTCTAGGCCCAATCAGATGGTGGTATTAGGTTGCTTTTCTTTGTAACTTTTCTATAGAATCCGACAATGAGTGAGCTAACTCACTGGATTGTGTTTGATTTTGGTTTTTGCTTTGAGAATTACTGCAGTCTGTATATAAAAAATGTTTGATTGGAGTGATGAAGAGGTAAGTTGATTTCTTAATTATCTTTTTCCCTTTTGTGATTTTTTAATTGTATTTTAAATTTAAGTTAATAGTTTTCTGTCTATATGGTTGCTTAGTTGCACATGATTGTAAACATAAGAAATTGAGGTGAATTCATTACTTTCCTCTCTGGTTGTTCCCTACTATTTTTCCAATTTACGTTTGGCGAAATGGTTATGCTTGTGGCATTCTTCTGTATAGTTTAAGGTCCTCTTGAATCGTATCTTGAATGTGATACATTTTCTGAGTTGATGTAAATTTGTCATGTACATTATGGGAGGTGTATCAAACGTATTCTCTATCATTGGTGTATCTCTGAGGCCTAACTTCAAACTAGGAGGGAAGAGAAGAACTTTGATTTCTTTTCATAATGTTCATATGTTTGTTTACCCTATTATAGGCATATTAAATAATGACTACATAATTGAAACAAGGAAAGGGAGGTTTTTATATATTTAAATTCCTAATGATTATATTATCAAGGCTATAATAAATTACATTATTTTAAGAAGAGTATGTGTTGGTTGCGAAATAATATGAGTTCACTTGTTTTTATTTAATACGTTGCTGTTGCTCTTCAGGTTACGATAGTCATGAACTTGTTTAAGAATATGCCAATATGAGTTCACTAGGAGATTTTTTTTTCCTTTTCCTTTTCTTAAGTTGCATTCACATGATGAGACTAGGAATGGATTGGATTTTAGTGTGTTTTATTTTAGTGACTAATGTTCCAGTTTAAAATTA